ATCCAAGCTCTGCTGTTTTTTAGATATGTAAACTTAGGCAAGTTTCTTCTCATTTGCCTCTCGTCTATAAAACAGAGATAATACAGGCAAAGCGCTAATGTGAGACGTAAGTAAATTAAGCAAGCATAATTCTTAGAATGGTGTCTGGCCTAGTCTTGGCCCTTAATCAAATGTTACTTTATTTTCTAGTACAAGAGTTAAGTATTATTTACTCTAATGTGTCCGACTGTTTGAGACCCCATGAAATGTAGTCTACCAGGCTCCACTTTCCATGGATTACTCCAGGCAAGATTACTGGAGTGGGTTGCCATTTCCTTTTCCAGGGGATCTTCCTCACCCAGGGTTCGAATCCAGGTTGCCTGCATTGCAGGCAGATTCTTTACCATCCCAGTCACCAGGGAAGTCCATTTTCTAGTAGGCATTTTATGAATAAAAAGCTCACTCTGGCAACAATGTTCAAATACTGAGTTACAAACAGTCATAAAGTGGTAACATTCAAGAAAAGTCTGAATAATGAAGTGAGGAGGAAGGAGAGATTTTTGGAGACATTTCTTAGGTAGAATCAAAGGGCTGTATTGATCAATGTGATGTGAAGAATGAGGAAAAATGGAAAGGTGTTGGCTCAAAGATTTCTTTTACACAGGAGGTACTTAGGTTGTTTAGCAGGAATATGGGGGTTGAGAGCTATATGGGGGGGTGGAGGATACATTTTATTTTAGCCATGGTAAGTTAAAAGTGACTGCAACAGGCAAGAAGTTTAGAAAACAGTTTAGAAGGCATGCTAAAATAAAGAGAATAGGTGAAAAAATCTTAAAATGATTCTTAAGCCCTCTTGATGAGAATCATCTGGTGTTCTTGTTAAACATGTGAATCCATCAGTTCAGTTCAGTCGTTCAGCCATGTCTGACTCTTTGAGACCCCATGGACCGCAGTATGCCAGGCTTCCCTGTCCATCACCAACTCCCAGAGTTTACTCAAACTCATGTCCATTGAGTTGGTGACGCCATCCACCATCTCATCTGTCTTCCCCTTCTCCTCCTGTCTGTGTGAATCCATAGTTCCCTGTCAAATCCCACTGAAAATAAATAGCTAGCAGGACTTAAGGAATTGCATTTTAAGAATTCTTCCTAGGTGATACTTGTGCATATAAGAATCTTTGGTTTCTGGAAAGCCTGTAAGTCTCCAATTCTGGCTGTGCACTAGAATCATCTTGGGAACTTTAAAAAATGGTGATGCCTAGGCTTCACCCCCAAGAAATTTTACCTTCATTGGTCTCAGGGAGGGCTCCAGCTTCAGCCTGTTTGCAAATGACCCCTCAGGTGATTCTAATTTGCAGCCTAGTGCTAATAAACTTGCCCCAGGTGATTCTTATTTGGAACTACAAACAGAAAGGGAAAATAATACTTGAAGGCTGTAGGAAGAACCTGAAAATCTACAAAGGATTTCTGTAAAAGACAGAAATGAAGTTATCTGGAAGTCAGGTAAGGAATGGTTTTTTAAAAACTAGGAATAGGTAACATTAACAAGCTTGGTAGATAGTGACAGAAACAGGACTGAAAAGAAGCTAGTGCACTTGACCGAAAGGAGAGAAGTGATTTAGGGAGGGTGTCTTCAGTGGGGTGGCACAGGTACAAGAACAAGAGAAAGGTTGTGGCCACGGAGACAAAGAACAGGTTCTGCTTGAAGGGACATAACATCTTACAGCAAGAACAAAATTACTCTTCTCTTTATAAATATTAAATATAAATGAATGAATAAAAAATGTACATATGAATGAAAAGTGTTTAGAATCCTTTAGTTCAAAAAAAGCACCAGGGGAGATGTTGAAGCCCTAATCTTAAAGTATGTTTCAAGGAGCAACATCTGGAAGGAGAAGAAATTGAGAGTTTTAGATGTAGAGTTAAGAGACAGTGCTCTTCTTGGGGAAGAGTGGTAAGGATGAGAGGGATCGTCTGCAGGGATGGGAGCATGTTTATCATATGCTGTGAAAGGGGGATTTTGGAGGGCTTGAGGGAGTGTGGATTGTTATCTTGGGGAGGGGAATGCATGATGAATGTAAACACTATAAACTGAATTGAAGTTTAGTTAAGAAAAATAAATAACATTTCTTACACACCTCAACTACAGAGTTTGAAGGTACTAGAATGCACTTCCTATATTTCTGCTTGATGGGCTCTCAGACCCTGATTAGCACAAGAATAAGGGGAGCTGGGCAGAAACTCATTCCCAAATTACCGGACAGTGTTCAAGAGTGCCATTGAACTAGTGATAGTGCCAGCAAACCGTATAGCCAGGTGTTTTCTGCAGCAACAGTTAGCAGTTTATACATGGGAAATAGAAGGCTACATCTGAATGAGGACAGGCAGGATAGGGCGGAAAAACAAGTAAGGAAGTTGGAGCATTATTAAGGTGTTTGAGGTAATGAGTCTGAGGTGTAGGCAGGATTATGTGGTGGAGTGGCCAGCCTGGGATAGTGAAGGATGACAATACAGGGATTAATAGTCTTCGTGAGCTCTTGCTGTTGGCTTAATAGAAGTGAAGGAATGAGAAAGAAAGGAATGGAGGTTACAAACAGTGAGTCGAATTTCTTAGATTTCAGAAGGGGGAGGATGTTGGTGACCACAGTGCCCTGGTGTAGTCTATTGCAGTTTGGAGCAGATTCATAGCTAAGTGGGATGAAAAATAAGAGACCGCATGCCTGGATTCTTGGTGAACTTGTACAGTGATTGAGGGTTGTGAGACAGCATGATGAATTTGATTAAGTCTGGGTTGAAGCCCAGGTTTGTAGCCTCTAAAGAGAAGCTGATTTGGATTGGAATCCTAACTCAGTTACCACCTGAGTAATTTTGGGCAGGTTATTTCTGTGAGCCTCAACTTTTTCCTTTATAAAAATATAGATAAGTTCTCTCCTAGTGGTTTTATTTCTAGGATAAAGTGCTTAGTAAAGGTTCTAGTACTTAAAAATGCCTGGGAGACATTAATTCTTTAGTTTCCGCCCAGCTCCCCTTATTCTTGTGCTAATAAGGGTCTGAGAGGCCATCAAGCAGAAACATAGGAAGTGCATTCTAGTACCTTCAAACTCTGTAGTTGAGGTGTGTAAAAAATGTATTTGTTTTTTCTTAAGTAAACTTAATTCAGCTCATAGTTTTCTTCAAAACTGTAACTAAGTTTTTGTAGAGCATCCCTAGAAAGGAGACAATGATCTGAAGCATCTGGCCCACTGAGAAGGCCAGCACTGTTTCTTCCTTGCTCTTGATTCAAGCCTGTTGTCATGGAGACATCATCTTTCCCCTCACTCAGCGCAATACTGTGGGCTTATGGGAGACAAACATTGCAGGGCACGGGTTGTATCTGTGAGGTCGTTGCTGGTCCTGCCCTGCCTAAACTCACTGTTGCCTTTCCTTCTTGGGGAAAGAAGGTATCACCACTTTGTGATACCTCTCCCCAGCAACAAGACATGTAATTATGCGCTCAAATTCCATAAAATGATCTTAGGAAGTTCTGACTTGGCAAAGGACCTGCCCTGCTGTTCAGTTTTCTGATATTTAAACGATTGTGGCTTTCCCCCCTTCCTTTCCCAGGTACCTGCACCCCTCCATAGCCTGTGTGCAAAGTTGCATGGGTTGGGGAGTGTTCTAGAACGGCTGATGGGAACCATGCTATTTACAGTTCTCAGTGTCTCTGCCCATAAGCATCTTCTGACTCTTCGCTCTCTTACAGGCTTTTTGTTGTTGTTCAGTTGCCAGGTCATGCCTGACTCGGTGATCCCGTGGACTGTATCCTGCCAGGCTTCTCTGTCCATGGAATCCTCCAGGCGAGAATCCTGGAGCGGGTTGCCATTCCCTGTGTCTCCTGCATTGCAGGTGGAGTCCTTACTGCTGAGCCGTCAGGAAGCCACTGAGGGCTTCGTGTGCTGTGTGCTAAGTCGCTTGTAGTTTGTTGGTTCAGTTGCTTGGTTGTGTCCTACTAAGTCCCTGTGTCCAGACCCCATGGACTGCAGCACACCAGGCCTCCCTGTCCATCACCAACTCCCGTAACTTGCTCAAACTCATGTCCATCAAGTCAGTGATGCCATCCAACCATCTCATCCTCTGTCGTCCCCTTCTCCTCCCGCCTTCATCTTTCCCAGCATCAGGGTCTAAGTCGCTTTAGTCATGTCCAAGTCTTTGGAAGCCTATAGACTGTAGCCTGCCAGGCTCTTCTGTCCGTGGGATTCTCCAGGCAAGAATACTGGAGTTGTTGCCATTTCTTCTTAAGAACTTTAGGCATTTTCAAATCAAAATCATGAAGAGAGCTCTCTTACCCTTGCCCATTTTTTCTACCCTATCTTAACCAACCCCTTCTGCCACCCAAGACAATAAGCAAACAGGTTGAGTACTTGGGAAGGAGGGAATGTGAGGCAAAGTGTTATTCTACAGAATTCAATCAATATTTTAGAAGGGTCAATCCTGTGCTTATGTCCTGTAAACTGTTCTTCTGATGTCCGTGTACTCAAATCTCTTATCTAACCCAAGCCAGAAAAAAATTAGGGATAAATTCCAGACCAGGTCAGTGTGTCGTTTTGTAACTATGTAGAAATTGAATTGTAACTCTCAAAGAGAGAAAAAAAACCTGGAATTAGTTTAAATAGCAGTATATTTTGCATTGTTTCCACACTGAACAGAAGACTTGTATATCTTGAATAATGAATACACATTTGGAGAAATTGTATAATATGGCAGAGTGTATGATGTAGATACTTGTCTCAATAAGCTTGCTCATTGTTCATTGGAAAAGTTCTTTATCCTTGTTTACCTTACAGTAGATGTTTCTCATTTTTATCAATAAATAGCCTGATAGAGTATAATTGGCACAGATTGCTTAAGAACAGATGATACAATTCTTTTAAAATGTTCACAGCTTTGTTAGCTTAATTAAACAGAAGGTGTTTATTACTGATCTCTTTTATATATACTTGTCTATAGCCTGGTGTGCTGCGATTCATAGGGTCGCAGAGTTGGACACGACTGAGCGACTGAACTGAACTGATATTTGTCAATCCCAGTCTCCCAGTTTATCACTCCCTACTTACCCAGGAGTAATTGTAAGTTTGTTTTCTATTTTTCTGCTTCTGTTTTGTAAACAAGTTAATTTATGCCATTTTTTAAGGTTTCACGTAATAATCGTATGATACTTGTTTTTCTGTCTGACTTAATTCACTCAGTATGACACTCCCTAAGTCCATTTGGGTTGCTGCAGATGATGTTGTGTGTTTCCATGGCCGAGTGACATTCTGCTGTGTAAATGTACCACATCTGTATTCATTCCTCCGTTGATGGACATGCGGGTTGTTTCCATGACCTGCCTATTGTAAATAGTGCTGCAGTGAACATTGGGGTGCATGTGTCTGTTTGAATTATATTTTTCTCTGGGTATGTGCCTAGTAGTGTGTTTGCTGGGTCTTATGGTAGTTCTATTTTTTAGTTTTTTTAAGGCACCTCCATGCTGCTATCCATAGTGGCTTGGACCAGTTTACATTCCCACCAACAATTCTCTTTCCTCTACACCCTCTCCAGCATTTATTGTTTGTAATTTTTTTTTTTTATGCTGGCCATTTTGACTGGTGTAATATGATACTTCACTGTGGTTTTGATTTGTGTTTCTCTAATAATTAGTGATGTTGAGCATCTTTTGACATGCTTTTTAGCCATCTATATGTCATCATTGGAGAAATGTCTATTTAGATCTTCTGCCCACTTTTTGATTGGGCTGGCCTTTTTTTTTTTATATTGAGCTGCATGAGCTGTTCATATATTTTGGAGGTTATTCTCTTGTTGGTTTCACTTTGATAGCAAATATTTTCTCCCATTCTAAGGGTTGTCTTTTTGTTTATGCTTTCCGTTGCTATACATAAAGCTTTTAAGTTTAAGTAGATTCCGTGTGTTTATTTTTATTTTCATTACTCTAGGAGGTGGATCAAAAAATATCTTGCTGCAATTTATGTCAAACAGTGTTCTGTCTGTGTTTTTCTTGAAGAGTTTTATAGCGTGCAGTCTTGCATTTAGGTCTTTAATCCATTTTTAGTTTATTTTTGTGTATGGTGTTAGGGAGTGTTCTCATTTCACTCTTTTACATGGAGCTGTCCAGTTTTCCCAGCACCACTTATTGAAGAGACTGTCTTTTCTCCATTGTATATTCTTGCCTCCGTTGTCATAGATTAATTAACCATAGGTGCATGGATTTCTGTCATCGCTTTCTATCCTGTTGTTCAGTCTCTGAGTCATGTCTGACTTTTTGACCCCATGGACTGTAGCATAACAGGCTTCCCTGCCCCTCACTATCCCTTGGAGTTTGCTCAATCTCATGTCCATTGAGTTGGTGATGCCATTCAACCATCTCCTCTCCTGTCAGCCCCTTGTATTCCTGCCCTCAATCTTTCCTAGTATCAGAATCTTTTCCAGTGAGTCAACTCTTTGCATCAGGAGGTACCCTTGATCTAAATTTCTGTTTTGACAATACCATCCTGTCTTGATTACTTTAGCTTTGTAATATAGTCTCAAGTCAGGGATCCCAATTCCTTCAGCTCTGTTTTTCTTAAGACAGTTTGCCCAAATAGAAACTGTAGAGAGAGAGTTTAAAATAGACAATTTCTATCTAATGTACAATTTCTGCTATAAAAAACTGCATATTCAGAACTCATCAAACATCTGAAGAAAACTCAGCACTTGAAAGAGTAAAAAGTTTCTAACAGTTTGTACTACAAAAATATGACTTCAGAGTAAATACAAGTAATATCCACGAGTAAGACTCAGGAAATTTGAACAGATTAAAGTCAGCAAAATTAAACTTTTGAAATATAAAGCTTAAAATCTTACTGGATTAGCCAAATAGTCATAGCCAAAAAGACCATTCATAAACTAGAAGATGAGCAAAGAATTACCCAGATATAGCATAATAGATGAAGAGAAATAAGTATAAAATATGTGAGATAAATACATTAGGTTTAATTTATCTAATAAAATGGAGAGATTATAGAAGAGAAAATATCGAAAATACAACATAAGGTAATTTCTAAAATGAATTGAGTTTTCAAAGTGAAATGGTTAACTATATCAGGCAACAAAAATTCTAAAGATGATACCACATCGAGAGTCAACACAGGGAATCTGCAGAGAAAAAATTGTAAAATTCCAAAGGTGGGAATGAGGGAAACCTTATTAGCTACATGAGCATGATAATTACTTTGATATTAGTTTGACACTAGATTTGATATCCAGTAAAACTGGATGCAAGAGGGCAGTAGATCAAGATCTAAGTTCTTTGGACCGATAACTTGAAATCTAAGATCTATACCAAATCAGAAGTATAATTCAAATATGAGAATGAGAAAGTAACTTTCAACTATGTAAGTATCAAACATTTGAACTTTATAGACACTCTAGTAAAAATAAAGTGTTTCTTCAGCAAGAAGAAAATAGATGTAGGAGGTAGAAGTGGAATCCAAGAAGAAACATTCGGTGATGATAGTGAAATTCATGGATACATCCAGGTAAATGTTGATTCTTAATTTAAAATAAAATTTGGAACTAAAATTCCAAATGGTATCAAAACGACAGATGATAGAGAGTGAAGTGGAAGTAAAACTGTGCTGACATTCTTGATGTCTTTAGGGGAAACTTAGAAATTCTGACTACATGTTTAAAGAACAGTAGTGTGGAGGTAAAATATTGGATGATGATCATAAGAATATGAACAAAATATGTAATTTTTCACTAGCAAGGTAAGGAAAGCAGATTAGGAAACTTGTTCAAACCATATAAAGGCAGAAGCAGGGAAAAAGAATAGTATAAATAAATCTTAATGTATCAAGAATAACAAATATCCATGGATTAAGCTCACTTATTAAAACAGATACTGATTTCTTCCTTTTATTAATTTTTTTTTGAATGACAACATTTACAGAATGGAACAATCACATTTTACACAAATTGAACATACGTTTTCATAAGTTGAACACACTGAATAAATAGCATCAAAATCATGAAATCGACAGGCCTTCAAAAACGTTGTCTTCCTATCATCCCTCTTAACTCTGCTTCCATTTAGACATTACCTCTTCTAAGGGAAAACACTACATTGACTTCTGTTATGATAGATTAGTCTTACCTGATTTTGAATTTTAAGTACAGTCTGCATCATGTCCTCTTTCAGGGATAACTCTGGGCTTCCCTGATAGCTCAGTTGGTAAAGAATCCACCTGCAATGCAGGGGACCCCAGTTTGATCCCTGGGTTGGGAAGATCCCCTGGAGAAGGGAGAGACTACCCACTCTAGTATTCTGGCCTGGAGAAATCCATGGACTATATAGTCCATGGGGTTGCAAAGAGTCAGACATGACTGAGTGACTTTCACTTTCACTGCGCTTCAGTTGTGGTTCAGCTGATAAAGAATCTGCCTGTAATGCAGGAGACCCAGATTTGATCCCTGGGTTGGGAAGATCCAGATCCTGGAGAAGGAAATGGCAAGCCACTCCAGTATACTTGCCTGGAAAATCCAATGGGCAGAGGAGCCTGGCAGGCTACAGTCCAGGGGGTCATAAAGAGTCAGGCACAACTGAGCGACTTCACTTTCTTTTCTTTCTGTCACTCAAAGGCATGTGTGTGAGATTCAAACAGGTCATTGCGTATAGTGTAGATTTTTCATTCTCAATGCTGCATAGTTTTATTGTATGAATATTAAAACAATCTATTGTTTTTCGATTCCACTGATAATGAACATTTGACTCTCTTTTTATCTTTTATATTTTGTCCTACCTCCTTTCGAAGACAATGGGCTGCTTTTCTGGGTGCCTGATGTCTTCTGCTGGCGGTCAGAGGTTGTTTTGTGAAGTTTGCTCAGCGTTCAAATGTTCTTTCGATGAATTTGTAGGGGGGAAGTGGTCTCCCCATCCTGTCCCTCTGCTGTCTTGGCTCCAATAATGAACATTTGATAGTTTCCATTTTTTAGTTCTTATGAAGTTGCTGCTGTGAAAATTCGAATGCTTATTAGTATTTGTTTTTTGGTAAACATATACACATTTTTGTTGAGTGTAAACCTTAGGATGGAACTGCAATATCTAAGATTTCCAATTGCATCACATATTTGTGCATACTTGGTCTTTCTTGCCTTAAATTTTATCCATTTTTGTAGAGGTGCCTTGTTATTGCTTTTAATTCTCTGATCATGGAGGGGCTGAGCATGAATTTAAGTTTTTTTCTAAGTCTATTGACTTAAAGAATCTTGTTCAAGTAGTTTGCCTATTTTTTTCTTAAGTCTCTCTCATTAATTTGGAGGTGTTTCTATATACTTTGGATAACAATTGTTTATCAACTATTGCAAATGTTTTGTCCCTGTCTGTAACTTATCTTTCTAATCTCTTAGTGATATATTAACATTAGAAATTCTTGTTTATGTAAAGATATTCTCTTTCATATTATAATAAGTTGGCCCAGAACTTTCAAGAAAAAACACAAACCAAAATATAACAGCAAATCTTTGCTTCTCTAAAGTAAGTTTTCTCATAAATGAAATATCTATATTTGACTGTGTTTCCAGGTGCTGTTCTGTTTCCTTTGGTGTATTTGCTTATTTTCACCCACACCACACTATCTTATTACAGATTCATTATACCTTAGTGTCTAGCAGTGTTCTCTGTTCTTTGCCTTCTCTGACTTGTTACTTTAACTGTTCTTTTTCATGATTGTCTTGATTATTCTTTGTCCTTTCAGTTTCATATACATTTTATACTTACATCAATTTATAATTAACTCTGCTAGGATTTTGATCAATGGCACCCCACTCCAGTACTCTTGCCTGGAAAATCCCATGGACCAGGGAGCCTGGTGGGCTGCAGTCCATGGGNTTCAGTTTCATATACATTTTATACTTACATCAATTTATAATTAACTCTGCTAGGATTTTGATCAATGGCACCCCACTCCAGTACTCTTGCCTGGAAAATCCCATGGACCAGGGAGCCTGGTGGGCTGCCGTCTGTGGGGTTGCACAGAGTCGGACACGACTGAAGCGACTTAGCAGCAGCAGTAGCAGCAGGATTTTGATAGCG